TTCATAAATAGTGACAGAGTTTTGTTTTTGTCTAAATGTTTAAAAAAAAAAATGTGGATAGAGAAGCTTGTAGCAGATGTTGGGAATGGCCTCAGGATCTCATGATGGAAACAGGCATGTGGAAGAGACAAGATGATTACACTAGCGGATGAGTTTGTGTGGGTCACTCTCTTCCAAAGACTTCCCGTCAGGTTCACAGTAATTGCAACATCAACATTTAATTGGCTTGTTGAAGACTTATCATTTCACTGTGCATCACCAACTTTATCCGGTTTTACCATAAACAATTATACATTTCCTATTGCATTTAAAAATATCTTGAAAGTAGTACAATGACTATTCCCAGATCCTTATTCCCTGGTATGAAATGAAACATTAAAGCCTTTCGATTTTACAGTTCTCCTAAATGGCACACAAGCAAAGTGCATGACAAACGCACGTAAAAGATTCATGAAAACATCATGCATTAATATGTACGAACCCTTTTCAGGAAAAAAAAACGTCTATGCAATATTAGTGTTTAAATACACATGAGGAGTCCCAAAGGCAGCGAGTGACATCTCAAACACGACAATGAGACTTTTATCATGCAACTGACTTGCTTTGTTAACAGGAACAAATGATTGCTTTGTTTGCTATGATGAAGCAGTGGATCACATGTTTTTCTCTTTGTGTGAGATGTTTAAAGTCTAATACAGTGGGGCGATTGGTTGGTAATTTGGAGAAGAGGTAATAAGGTTTAGTGTTTCAATAGAAACAGCAATTATAGTGTTGGGAGAATCTGCCTCGCTCTCGGCTAAATTGCTTCGGTGTGAGGAAGGGAGGATGGTTCGGCGAGGGATGAAGAGGGCTGAATTGCTTGGCCTTACTTGAAACCAAAAGAACAAAGCAATTTAGAAGAGTACAGAGGCAACATTTCAGAGGATAAATACCAGATAGCAATTGGACTGAAAGGTCAATCTAAGCCTCCGAATCACTCATGTGAGTGTTATGAGCTTTAACAGAGAGAGCAAGATAAGTCCATGTCGATCATAAATAATGCTAAATTATTGGGCAAGGGACAGAAAGCCAGTCCCCTTACTGATATATATATATACACTGTAAAAAAAATATTGATGGTTTAACTTAAAAAAGTAAGTAACCTTGTTGCCTTAAAATTTTAAGTTCATTGAACTGGAAAAAGTGAGTTAATACAATGAAGGAGATTAATTTAATCATCAGAAACTCAAAATTATATGTTATCTGAACTAAATAAATTATTTAAGTTGATTTGACAAAAGAAAAAATGTTGTGATTACTACACTGTAAAAAATATTGTTGGTTTAACTTAAAAAAGTAAGTAACCTGGGTTGCCTTAAAATTTTAAGTTGATTGAACTGGAAAAAGTGAGTTGATACAATGAAGGAGATTAATTTAATCATCAGAAACTCAAAATAATAAGTTATCTCAACTAAATAAATTATTATAAAGTTTATTTGACAAAAGAAAATATGTTGTGATAACAAATCTTGAAAATATTTTTTACAGTGTATATATAATAAATAAATATATATATATATAAGTTGAGCAAAATGTTCCACATCAGTTGCTCCGAAAAGATTAGCTGACCACAGGGCATTTAAAGCATACTGAACACTCACTATCAACTTACAAAACAAGCATTTACTGACAAAATATGTAATTAAAAGCTTGAAAATTTGAAATGAATTTTCGTGATATTTTGTGTTTTCAAAGGATGGACGCTTTCATGACATCACAACGCACAACGCGGGGTGTTATGATTAATCCCGAAAGGCAATATTACGACTGGTTAGCAACATGCTGGTTTTGTTTACATCATGGGTATGAAAATCACATTTCATTGGTTAGAGATCACTTCCGGCGCTTGCACAGCCTGAAGCGTCCGTGTCCTCAGATCACTTGGACGTGGCTGTGATTACAAGAGATAAAAACGAAATAAACACTGTTCGTTTTCTCACACAAACCGCTCGTTTCGTGTCTTAGGCCATCAATGTGTACTTACATTTACGAGTCATTTAATCATGTTTAATTTGGACTTCTCTGTGCATGCTCTTTGAGTCGGTGACCATAGACCTTCATTATATGACAGACACGTACGGTTTGACATAAAAATATAAAAACAAAGACACCTACATCTTGGATGCCCTTGAGGTAAGCTAAAACATACCAAAAAATAATTTCAAAGTGAACTATCCCTTTAAGACTCACACCATTCGAGAATTTGCAAATTAAATGTCATACAGGTTTGGAATGACATGACGGCCATTTTGGGTTGAACTACAGTATATCTTTAATTCCCAAGAATTAAGAAGCACAAAACCTCTGACATCAACACCAAAAACACTTGCCCCTTCAGTTAATTTACATCAACATCATCCAAAACGTAGATCAAGACACTTTTATGGCCAGAGTGGTTGTCTAGTTTTTCACCCGATCAATATTTCATATTTCCATTCAAGCCCACTAAATCAAAAATGACAGGCCGCTATAGACGGCCTCTCTTTAGACACTGGAAACCCTGCTGGCTGAGAGACGTGTCTAAGAATAAACTCGCACAAGCTGTGTCCTCCAGCCATGCCAGCCCAACGGTGCCCAGGAGACAGATGTAACTCGCACTGACAGGTGATGTCAACTATCAGAAACTAACTAATCAGCTTTGGCGGGACTTGTATTCGACCGTCCTCCTCTCTCCAACACCCTTCACCTTGAGGTTTGAACCCTCACACAAGTCCTCTGTCTGAACCTCAGGTGAGGATTTTCCCATTGGGTGGCTCAATTATTCCTTTATCACCGCACGGAGGCCAGGACTTGGTCAACTGTTAAATTAAATTTGCCCCCTAAGCTGTTGGTAGATTTCCCTGACACAGCGATTAAGTGGCCTCTAATTCCCTCTCCTTGTTAATGTGGGGTACACTGGGGTTTGACACTTGCTGAGGAGGGAGTTCTGAGGACGCGTCTCGCTCCGAGGAGACCCTGATACTTCGTGACTTTAACTGCGGGTTGTCCTTTGAAACTTTGAAAGTTGTATTTAAGTGAGCTTCAAACGAAGAGAAAATTAGAGGTTTTGTATCCCAAAAAAGACTTGAATCCCAGAAGACTCAATGCCGAATAAAACATGGATATACAGCAGGTTATGTTTCTAGGAAATGTAGCAAGGGTCCATTTGTTGACATTCGTTCACGGCGTTGGTTAACATGAACTGGCTCACGATCTCACGACCAATTCTACCGAATTCAGACGAGTAATTAAAAAGTGGCTAATTCATACGACCTCACTTGTACGAATTAGTACGATTCGTCTAAACCTACGTGATGGGTAGGTTTAGGGGCGGGGTCAGGGGTACGTCATTCGTACGAATTGGCCAACTCGTAAAATATGTACGATTTAGCAAAAAAGGGTGAGAGAGTGAGGTTGTACGAATTGTTATACGAATTAGCCACCCCGTAAAATTTGTACGAATTGCCGTGAGATCGGGTTGGAACTGATGATAAAAAATACTTCTAAAGCATTTCTTAATGTTAATTAATTTTAACAAAGTTTAATACATACTGTAACAAATGTATTGCTCATTGTTAGTTAATGTTAATTAATGCATTAACTAATGGGATACTATTACAACAGTTACTTCTGGTCTTTGAATTTGGTTGGCTGATTTCTATTCTATTCTATTCTATTCTATTCTATTATTATAATTAATTAGTGTCGTAAAAACCATTAATCACGATTTAATCACATCAAACAAAAATGTGTGTGTATACAGTATCTGAAGAGTTCTGATGCAAAAGCCCATAAGTCAAAATTTTTATCAAGCTTGTATATTTAAGTTCAGTAATTTCACTTAAATTGCAATGAAGATTACCTATTAATTGTCATTTAAGTGAATTTACTGAACTTAAATATACAAGCTTGATAAAAATTTTATTCTAGATAAAGATCATTCTAGAAGAAAATTTCAACTTTTGCATTTGCATCTGAACTCTTCATATATTATTATATTTATATACAATATATTACTTATGTGTCTGTGTGTACAGGTATATACAAAATATAATAATATACTGTACATGCACATATACAGTATATCATGTAAACAAATAATTTTATGTTTGATGTGGCTAATCGTGATTAATCGATTTGACGGCACTAATTACTTTATATTATTATATTATATTATATTATATTATATTATATTATATTATATTATATTATATTATATTATATTATATTATATTATATTATGTTATGTTATATTATATTAGATTATATTATATATGTGAATGGTTTGTAATTCATTTATTACTTTAAAAAACCCTAAACAAGCATTAAACGAAATAAAATAAAAAATCTACTTATATACTGTAAAAAAAAAATCAGTCTAATTAAAATGGTCTTATTGAAAAAAAGTCCAACACAATCTATGCCAATAACCTATAATTTTGTTTGTCAAGTTGTTATAACACAATTTTTATACATTGTAAAAAAAATATATATATTTTCATGATTTGTAATCACAACATTTTTGTAATCACAACATCTCAACTTAAATAATTGATCTGGTTCAGATAACATAATATTTTGAGTTTCTGATGATTAAATCAATCTCCTTCATTGTATTAACTCAATTTTTCCATTTCAATTAACTTAAAATTTTAAGGCAACCAGGTTACTTCATTATTTAAGTTAAACCAACAATATTTTTTTACACTGTAGTTGCACCTCTCATTCACTTCCTCTGAAGAGTGATTAATATAATATAATATAATATAATTATATATACTTTTATTAAAACAATCTCTCTCTCTGTTCTCTGAATCCACTTGTGCTTGTTGGAAGTGCACACTATAAATAAAATGCATTATTATTGTTGGGGAAGTTGTGCTTCATGCAACCTTTGAATGAGTCTGTATCTCATAAGAGCGCCCTTGTCAACTGCAGTGGTGTTGTTCATGTTGTGTGTGCTCCAGGAGTTGGGGTCTCACCTCTGCTGAGCAGCTGTAGGTTGCGCACCTCCTCTCTGACCTGTAGCTGTAGGACCTGCTGCAGGACCTCCTGTCTCAGTGTCTCCTGGATTATACCCATCCTCTCCAGCTTCTCTCCATTCAACCGCAACAGGGCACGACCTGAAAAAGTGTGTGAGTGACAGTTTGAAAAGTCAATGCCAGCTTTGTAAAATAGCTAGATGGAACAGAAAAGGATTATATCTGGAGAAAATTTGATCGATAGAATTGGTTTACATTTCTTTAAATCCTCAAGCCATCAAATTAATGTCACAGATCTTGCAAACAGAACAAGCCAACCAGAGAAAAAGTCTTCGAGAAAACCAGACATGTAATAAGACTTTCTCTTCCTGCTGTACAGTTTTAGCTCTGCTGTTTCTAAGACACCGAAACTTGGCCAATATATCATTTGTGCATAAAGCAATTCCAGGAAATTTTGTTATAAGCTCTGTGACACATACACACACAAAAAAATATTAATCATCCAAGGTGGCGAATGAAGAGAATGCTGACTATTAAAAAATTAACATAATAAATGATAATACAGTTTAAAGTGTAAAAAATACAGGGAATTAACCAAATAAATTACAACAATAAACAGCAACACAATTAAGGTTGAGAAAAAAATATAAAAAAAAAAATATTGTAGAAAATGTTCAGTCTGATTAAAACGGACTAATTTAATTAAACAGCAAAAGAGGAAAATAATAAGGTTGAGAAAAATAGGTCTAATAGAATTAACAGTATATAAATATGCATTAATAAAAAAATGGTAACACTTTATTTTGATAGTCCACTTTAGACATTCTACTAACTATAAGTAAATTTGCAACTACATGTCAACTAAGTGTCATTAGAGTATTAGTGGACTGTCAGCTTAATATCTGCTAACACTTATTTATTTTGTTGGTCCCCCAACAGATATTCTACTGACTATAAGTAACTTGGCAACTACAAGTCAACTTATTCTACTAACCCGAACCCTAACACATAACCATAACCTACCAGTCTACTGACAGTCTAATACTCTAATGAGAGTTAGTTGACATGTAGTTGAAAGGTTACCAAGAGTTAGTAGAATGTCTAAAGTGGACTATCGAAATAAAGTGGAACCAAAAAAATAAATAAAAAAAGTCCAGTGTGATTAAAATGGTCTAATTTAAAAAGCATATACACTACTAGCCAAAGTAAAATACAAATTATTATTTTGGCCAAATTCTGAGAGTACAGCATGTATCCTTTACAAATTAGGTGATTCCAAAATAGTACCGTGAAAATTCACAATCTCATGAAAGTGTGTATCTATACCACAAAATTCATTTCTCGTGTCATGTCAAAAATTGTTTTTGCGTGCATATAAAACCCTTCATAAAGCATTCATAATGTTGTTACGTAAGTATTCACGTCAAAACTTAACCCCCTGGGGACCAAGGTGTACTTGTGGTCCTTGAGATGTTCTGACATGCCCTGACATTTGTGCTTTTTTCAGTTGCTTATAAACATATTAATGGCACAGGTGAAATTACACTATATTTAGCACAAACAGGGCTACCATAATATGTGAGCAACATGTATGTACTGTACATGTTTGTATTTTTGAGAGAATATTGTTTATGTGTCTTTTCATACAGACTACATCAACTGAGAATAGTTGCTTTTTATATAAATTACTTCATTTAAAAGAAGAGAATTTCAGCTTCATAAAGAGAAATCTTTCGTGTCTCTGTGACAAGTATTTATTGAGTTACAGTTCATTTTTCGGACGCGTTTCAGAAAGATTTTTGCGGAGACAGAGTGAGCTCAAAGCGCACCCTGTTTATTTGATTTATTTTACAAAAACAGTCGTTTTTGTTTTTGTAGACCGTTATTTGAAATTAATTACGAGTTGCATCTCTCATTCACACAACATATCTCTTTTCCATTTCGGCTAGCATGCTACCTTTTAGCCACCAAAGTAAGCAGTAGATGGCAAAGCAGCTTAGTTTTGCAACAGAGAGTTTATTTACATCATAAAGCCTGCTCACGTCCCTCACTGTCAGAGTCTTGTCCTTCAAAAAAAAAAAAACATCACAAAGCAAGAGAATTTATTGTCATTCGCCCCGGATGCGCTCGCTCTAATTAAGCGCATAAATCATATTTTTCTCTCTTACAATATAATCATCCATCCTCATTCTTACCTGGCAAGTCCCCACACACTCCCTCAGAGGAACGCCAGACATAGTTTACATAACGAGAGTCTATTTTAAGCCTCATTAATGAATGTGTTCAATTTCCACACACATTGCTCTGTGAAGCCGGTTTACGTAAGGCCCATTTTGTGACCTTAGATGAGCTTATTGATTTGTGTGGTGTGTGTCCAGGAACATAGGCGCTGGGCAGCTATTCCCCTCCATGAATGAAACATAATGACCTTAATACCAGCTGGCCGTGGCTATTTCTCTGATGATGTAGTGGAAATGGAGAGATGAGTGCAGTGTGGTTTGGGGGTTCAGAGACTGGATAATGATAATTACAGTTTTACAGATCATCTACAGAACTTCAAGAGCTGTCCCTTGAGACGAACCACTACCTGGCGTTTAATTACTTTCTCATAAGTGAGATTTGGTTACAGAAACCTTCATGCGTTCAGAAACGGGGAACAAAATGACTCATCTTGGATATTTAGCGGTTAGAGGGAGAAAGCTTGTCTTCTTTCAAGTCTGCTAGAAATAGCATGACAAGCATAGCCTTCCTTCGTTGACATTAACAGGAAGTTTAGATATTTGGGAAAGCTAGACTCATTGGGGAAAAAAATGTGCTTCTACTTACATTTTTGCAAGTGACTGTAAAAAACCAACAACTTTTATTCCTTTCCACGTAAATTGGGATTACAGGGGTAGGCTGTCGATTAATTCAGACTTAAAGTGCTGTACGTAACTTTTTTACTCTACAAAAGCATAAAAATACCATAATATGTTTGGAGATATCAAGTTCACAAGTGAAAAACACTTCTATAGCCAATAATTTTCCTTATTATTTTTCATGTTCTGTGTTGTCTGTCGATTTTTGTTTTGGTCTGTGTGATCTCGTCCACCGCCAGTTCACCCAATAGTATTTCGACACCCCGGGATGCCAGTTGGCAGGAACTTGAGCGTATTGCTACCAGCGAAAAAACTGGTTTAGAGATTGCCGATTCTAGCCGACCTAAAAAGCCTCGATATCGATATATCGATATCTAAAAATCTTAATGAAAGAGAGCATATTAAAACACGGATAAATCCACTCATCAACTTACAGTGTAAGTTTCCTCGGCTTTCATTGTCAATTGACCCTTCAAATGGAGTTTGATTGACAGGTGATCTGGCCAATCATAATCCACCACCCGCAGAATCCGCCATTTTTGTACAACAAAGCAGTCAGGAGAGTTAGTAGATTAAAATTGGAGGATATGAACTTGAAAAACTGAGTTTACTGGAATCTTTCAGCGGTTAAAACATTATTCCTTCGTATGTTCATTCATGTTTATTTTATGCTATAAATTAACTAGAAGGAAGAGATGATCGATTCACAAGCAGCTTTAACTGAGGCTCTACAGCGATCTGTCAGACACATTAAAAAGGTATGTACTCTTTAAATAAATTTGAAAGGTGAGACTTTGTTTCATATCAAAAGTCCTGTTTGTTAGTGCATTGTCAGAGTCCTCCCGTGAGACCGGTATCGCTTGTCGGACATAGCAACAGTAACTAAAGGGGGCGGGTCTTTGCGAACGTCAATTGCACTCTTTCCTGTTGCGTGTCCTCAAACTGGCAACCCATGTGAGCGTCGAGTCTGAGGAGGCGGGGGAAACAACGATCTCTCATATTTTGAATTTGGACTGCAGTACCTATTTCGACCACTAGCTGTCATTAGCCACTAGCTATCAAGTCAGAAAATTTCGTATGCGTTTTTTCATATTCATCATCCTAATATTCATCCCCGTATTTCACAGAAACCTTGCACACTGGGTCCGATGCAAACGAATTAAATGTTTGCGAAAAAAAATCGCAAAACAATACAAAATGGAGTCTTCAAGCAGTAAAGATGAATTTGTTGTCCTCTCTCTTCTTAAAAAGAGAAAAAGAACAAAGAAGCGAAGCGATTCAAAGATGTCAGTGGCTCATTTTGGTGCTTCGCTAGCGATACTGGCCATGAACCAGTTGATCCTGAAATGTCTGGATTTTGGCGTTCGCTTGTACAGTCACTCTAAATTGTGAAATCACTTATCAAAATGCCTTCTACGGATGCGAAAAACGATGAAAATGTAACCTGATACGAATTTTTTACGATGGACGAAGATTTCGGAGGCAGTTTGTTAACATGATTGACACAACGCAAGGTCGTATTTTTTTTCCAAATTTTCGGATGATAGTTTTGTACTCAAGGACTTTCCTTGCAAAATGCTATGTTATGACCTCAAAGCACTTTACCGTAGTGATCAGCTTCATAGTTTGGCTTTTCTGGCACCTGATACAGAACTGCACTTGCAATGCCGAATGCTCGGTGAGTCTTGCGAAACACATATCATGATAAAAGAGCTCAAAGACTTGTAAAATAAAGATTAAAAGTCCTTGCACACTGAATCCGAAATTCTCATCCGTTAAAAAATAAATCCGACCTCACGTTTTGGCAATCATGTTTACACACTGCCTCAGAAACTTTCGTCCATTATCAAAAAACAATTTCGATCGGGTTTGATTTTCTGCGGGTTAAAAACGTTTTTAAAACGCTTACAAAAATTTCAAGGACCTTAACACTTTCACCGCTATTGATGGACATTTCCGTCATTTGTGAGTAAACGCTTCCCCGCCATTGATGGAAATTTCCAGTTTTCACTGTTACGGTAGGGGGTGCTATTACACATCAACGACAAAGAGTACAGAATTTCCTGAATCTCCTGATCAAAACACATCAAAACGAGAAGCAGAAACAAGCGATATCATATGTTATCATATGCATATGTAAAATAACACTTTTCGTACCACTCACTGAACATTTTGCTTTGAAAGCGTCGAAAAAACGTGCAAGCCGCAAGGCCCGCAACCTATAGCACAGGAATATTTTCCAATGAGCCTGGGTTGTATTCACCCCAGTCGGATATTTTCCCA